TAATAGCTAACATCTATATAGAACTTACTATGTGCTAGTTACATTTGACAATTATCTCATTTGATCCTCAAAACCCCGGGAGGTAGATGCTATTATTAATCCCCATTGTACAGATGAGGAAACACAGGTGAAATGACTTGTCCAGGATCACACAGCTAGTAAGTGTCTGAGGCTGGATCTGAACTTAGGGCTTCCTAACTAGGCCCAACACTCTACCCACTGTACCACCCAGCTGTTCTATTAGCTCAGGCATTTACCACTTCTGCCTAGATAATTACAACAGCCTCTAACTGGTCTCCTAGGCACCAGTTTTTCCCTTTTCCAATTTATCTTTCACACAGCAGCCAAAATTAATATTCCTAAAGTACTGGTCTGACTGTGTCACTTGGCTAATCCACTCAGCTCCAGTGGCAAATACCAACTCATCTGTTTGGCTTTTAAAGCTTTCACAATCTGGTTCTAGACTAATTTTTCTGCTTAATGTATGTAATACTCTTTTCCTCACATGTTACGGCCAGACTGGCCTGCCTCCTGTTTCCCCACACAAAAGGCTCTATCTCCCACTCCCCTTTGTACAGACAGGCTACATTTTCCTCCCCGATGATGGAAATAAACCCCCTTGTCATTTGCCAAGGTGAGTTGAAATGCCCCTCCCACAGGAAGCCTATCCTAAGCCCCCAAATGGCTGGTTTCTCCTAATGGAAATAACTCCATTTATCATTTTCCATGTATGTAACTACTCCCTCCTGACCCTGTCCTCCTCCATAACTAAGCTTCCTGATGGCAGGCACTGTTTCATTATTTGGCACAAAGCAGGAATTTAATAAATACTTGTTGACTGCACACTGACTGTACAGCTACTTTCTAAGCATCTGACCTTCTATGTTGCTCCTGAAAAAACGTCATCTTTCCTTGAGTGATTCTGGCCTCCTTTGAACACCACCTCCTCATCTGTATCTGCTGGACTCCAACAATGAATTCTGCCATGACCTTCATCCTCCTGTCCCTTCTGCCATCTTAGTAAGCTGCCCTGATTCAATGAACAGATGCAGTTTTTCTAAAGTGAGGCTGAAATAATTACTGAAGCCAGATTCCAGAATCAAAACTAAAACCTGTTGCCACTGGCTTCCAATAAACACTACAAAGGTTCCTATTAGGGAACTGCTTATTCAGTAAGTCAGCAAGCTTCATCAATTTAGATTTGAAAGCTGAGTCACTTCACTGATACGAACAATAAACATTTATTGTTGAGTATTAGCTTCTTCTACTTTCTGAAAAGGCCCAAGTCAAATGCTACAAACTCCAGGAAGCCTACCCCAACCCACCTGCCTCAGTGCCCAAGTCAGTAAACATTCCCTCAGTTGAACCTTACACAGCATTTCTTAAACACTTATCAAGTACCACAGTTTTTGTATATGTCATATCCTCCTAGTAAAGCTTTCCAAGCCAGGCAAGATCCCCTTATTTAAACCCAAAGTGTCAATTACTACCTAGTTTTTGCTGAATTGACTACTTTGCCTTGTAAACATAAATATATACATACATACATACATACATATATACACATATATGTATGTGTATATATATATATATGAGATATGAAATATATATGTATGTATGTATTTGCAGGGGTTACATTACAGAGCAACACTCACATATATGATAAATTACTGAAGTGCACTGCTCCATGGAGCAAATGTTAGGATTCTTCGTTATTATTTGTTATTTTTTTCCTATGGGAAGCTAACTTCGATACTGTAGTGAAAGTAAATGGAAGAATGATTTGACATTCAAGTAGTTTACAATTTTTCAAGAACATATTTATAATAAAATGGAGTTGAAAATAAAGAGGGCTTCTATAAAAAGAATAATTCTTCATGTACCCCATTATCAAATTAAAGAAGCCTTCTGAAAGATACCAATGTATTCTTTTTGAGGGGCTTCATGAACCTCACAAATGATACACTTTAGATATGGCATACACAAACATGCCTTTAATTTAAAATAAAAATATAAAATTTAATTGTTTCCTCAGTCTAATGTGTCAATGGTTTTCTATTTGTCCTAAGGAAACTATTTTTGGAATCATTAATTTTAGAACTAGAAAGACCTCAAAAGAATATCTATTTCAATCTAAAAGGTGAGAATTGAGGCTCAGACCGGCAAAGTGACTTAACCCAAATCACCAGTTTGTCAGTTGGAAAGTTCTGGGCTAAAAATGCATCTCAGGTTCTTTAGTGTCCCTTGTAAATGTGTTCTGTTGAGGGCCAGTCATCTTTTTGTACACAATCAGAATGGATTTCCTCAAAGCATCATCACTTAAGTGGTGTAGTCTATACTGAACGTTTTTGACAAAGCAAAAGTTTTGACATTTTTTAAACAGGGAGGTATAGAAGAATAAATGGGGGAGCCACTACAAAAAATATAATCTAGGATACAGTCAAGAAATCAAAGAGTTTGGTAAACCACCTTTACCAAATGCTCCTTGTTGCTGAATGTTAATGAAGGGCAAAGGATAAAAATGAAATGGTTATTTTCCCCTCATAAAGAGCCTCTCACAATTTAGAACAAACTTTTCAATTCTTATTTTTAATAGTTTACACTGTCTTTGGTTATTGTAAGGCTCTTGACAACAGCAATAACTTCCTTTGAATTTATCAATTTCATTTTGATTAGATTTTTGTAGTTTCAAATAACCATAACTTATAATTTATAATTTAACACTAATATTAGTTAGTACTAAATCTTTAGTAGGTATCTTATTCAACTCACCCATCTTTCTCCACCTTCTATTCTTTAGCTGCATCTATAAGAAACATTTTCAGATTGTACTAAATGTTTTGGTTTAAAGCATTCTTATTTTCTTGATAAGGTTTATGTATACTAAGCTAGAAAGTTATGAAGTGTAAAGAAGGTTGGAAATCTGATCAGACAGTGAGCAAATTCTCTTTAAAAAAAATCCCCTTTACTAATACCGTAGAAATAGTTTGAAACAAAACTATAAATAAGAATGGAACAATTTCCAACACTGACATTTCTGATCTTAACAATCTATAACAGTTTATTCTTTATCAAAATACTGGTTTACTATTGTAGACTCCTAACCACACTCCTTTCCTGACCTATAGCATTTTTCTGACTAAATGACACCCCTAACTTGATACTTTTGTCACTGCTGACTATACAACCCTTTAACTCTGACAGGCTCCATCTGGGAGCATGTGTTCTAGTCCTTTAGGCAACTATTGCTCCCTGCCTGGTAACTTAAAGGCTAGGAATCTGAAAAGGATGATGGTCAAATCATGATTACCCATGTATAAAATGCTTACTATATGAATGACTTGGAATGATCTTCCCACACAATTTAATATACTGCCTTGTCAGTTTCATTCATAACTTGTGTTCTCCTCCACTTAACATGTTTTTTAATAGCTTTCCAAAAGCCTGAGCAGTGCCCCTTCTCCATTCTCCTTTCCAGCATACCTCTCAATCCCACCTCCCCACTAGAGCTAGAAAATATTTCAGTATTTAAAGTTCATTTTCTCTATTTTATGCTTTGTACTTTAACTGAGTAATTCAATTTTATTCATTTGTAAAGTCTTATTTGTAACCTAGAAAAAAAAAAAACTAACAAATGTTCCTCTTTTTTCTACCAGCTAAGAGTCACTGCTCTCGTAGTTAATTAAAAATGCTACCACACTGGGACCCCAATGAAACTACCAGATAAAGGAAATTTTAATGTTTCAAATTAGGAGATTTACTGCTATTGTTTGGATTTTAATATCCTCCTGCTGAATAAAACGAATAGCTAAACTTCTTTAGAAACTTCTAGAAAATTTCTGTTTTGATGCCTATAATTAGGTAGAAGGTGATCTTGAGTTCCCAAAGGCTATATCAGCAAAGGACAAGCTTCAGGTGTGGGTTGCCTCTGACAGTGTCTGCTACTGTTAGAGGAACAGCTTAGCAAGTGCCCCACTGCCAGCAGGGAGGCTCACTATGGCTTTGGTAACATATATATCAGAAGAAAACATTAAAATGGCACTCAGCAATGCAGCCCCTGCCTATTTTTGTAGTGACAGAGGCATAGGGAAGGACAGAGTATGTATGGATTCTACAGTGTTTATTAATTAAACCACTGGCATTGTGAACATGAGATCTCTGTGACATACCACCAGAAGACATAAGTAAGTTGCAGCCAAGTGGAAGAAATAGTTCAAATGTTCTCAGAGAGACAAATGGCCATCACAATAAACAGAGTTATAGCGTACACACGTACATCTTTTGGAGATGAATTAGTAGAAAATTTCTGCTAAGAATTCTATAAGATTCTCCAAATCAAATCAATATATACCTTAACACTCAGTGACATTAACAAAAAGGTGGGAAAACTGTCAGAAATATGATCTGGGACTAAGAAATGGAAGTTGCCAAAGGTCTGTAGATAGTTAGAAATTTCACATCTATATTATCATAAAGAAGAGCTGTAAGAGCTGTTGGACCTGCTGAACACTGAACAATGTCACAAAAAAATGAAACTGATAAATCCTTATTGGAAATGACTGGATGAAGGTGTCATTTCAGAATTAAGTGATCTGTATGCAGTCAGATTATCAACTAATTAAAGAACATATTGAATTTATTACCAAACAAGAAGAAAGGATAATGAGTATACAGAACAGAACATCCATGGGAGGATATGGACAAGAATCTCAGAGAATGGTGAGGATGGGCTGCAGTATATGCCACTGGAGGGAGCACCCACATAGATGAAACAGAGATCCATTGAAGTATCAAAGAAGTTGCAACAGCTGATCCAGTCATGGGAACAATTCCATCATTATGATTTACAGTACCTTTTACTACAAGAACCACAAGGAATTTATAAAGATCTTATCATTAATAAACAATGAAACTATATCAATGGAAGGTTTTAATAAATTAGCCCTCCCCACCTCCCTGGCCAAGAAAAACATTTTTGTTTGGACCACGCAAAAGAATACCAGGCTCTTTTTCAGCAGCCAAGTCATTTTTTCCTCCTTCAAGTAATAAGTTGTTGTGAGTGAATCCTCCCAAGTGATAAGGATATTCGATACCTGTTATAAAAATATCAAACATATTGTTTGTAACACAGCTAACAAAGATACACTACCAATTTGGATATAGATATATTTTCAATATAAGATTCTCAATTAAACGATTACCTATGTCTTAGTATGCCTTTGAGGACAATGAATTCAGATAAGTCCCCTGAGGTTATGACATGAACCTAACAAAATGAAACAAAACAGGTATTTCCTTTCAAATGGTGAGTTAAAAGCAATCCTCCGTCCAAGCTCTACTCTGCCTCATGCTGGTGTGGCAATGACCACCTTGAAGGCTGTGCTAGGACAGGACGAGGGCTCTGGCACAGGCTACAAAAGTTGGAGAAGCTTTTGGATATGCCCAAGGATGCACTGTATAGCTGTCATTTGAAGATTAGTTAACCTAAGTTCAGAGACAAATATCCCCAGTTTGGCCTCAAGCCATAGCAACTCTCAAAGATTGTCTGCTAAATTACAGAGGAACTGTATAATCAGTTTCAATAGAGGGGATAACTATATCCAAATACCACAGATTATCAAAGTACTGAAAGGAATACTGATGCTTTGTTGTCACTGATGGATTATTTGGGAAAAGAGGAAATTTCTCCCTCTAAGTCAGAGCGGTGTGGGAAGGGGAAGGGGGGTGGGGGTTGTGTTACAGCTAAGGAATCTGAGTAACTGGGCTCAAATCTCAGCTCTATTACTTACTACCTAGATGAGCCATAATCCTATGAAACATACAGATCAGTATTTCACTCCTTAAGATAAGGTGGATTTAAGAGAATCATAGATTAAGACCTTGAAGGGATCTCAAAAGTTATAGAATCCAAACTTCTTATTTTACAGACAAGCCAACTAAGGCCTAAACAGGCTGAGTGGCTGTCCCATGGTCACAGAGGGAGTAAACAGGGATTTGAACCCATGTTCTCTGATTCCAAATTCAGTGTGCTTTCTAGTGTCATTACTTAATTCAGGGTTAAAATCTTGGAATTACTTTAAATACTTTTCTTTTCAAAAAAAAACTATTCACAACTCAGAGGAAAACTTTATTTTTTACAAAGCATATAACCTATATATTTTAAGGCAATGATTTGGATATTTTAGTAGAGATCTTAGTATGTCAGTAAAGTGAATAATGCTTTCATCTATTTAACAAATCCAAAGAAGAGAGCTAAACCAATTTAATTAATGGTACTGACACCTACAGGATTTTTTTTTGATGCCTTAAAGTACATATATAACTGCTGCAAGAAAACTTATAGGATATTATTTTGTTTAACCAGAAAGACCACAAATTATGTATATTCCTTAACAGAGACATATAAACATTTTAATAAGACAAGATGTGTGTGTGTGTGTGTGTGTATACACACACACACACACACACACACACGTATATATATGACACATTTGTGTTCTAAAAATCAGATTATTCAAGTACATTGATGTGAGATATTTAAAATACTAGATTCTGCCATTAATTTAGTAGCATCACCCTTCTTCCTCATGATTATTCACGGCCAGGAAAAAGATAATGACCTTGCCTTTTCTATTCTCAAATAGTTTTTAAATTTAGAAAAAACAAGCCCTGAAATACAGGAAGAAAATATTTTCTTCCATGTGGAAGAAACAATAGCTGATATCAATAAAAATTATTACTCTGGAAGCATCAGATGACTACAAATACCTTGATTTCTTAAAACCCAATCAAGCATATACATATTTCCGTAACAGTCCCTCCTTAGTCTCACCATCTTTTATAATTAGTATTATAAAGTGATAAGATTGGAGCCTTATGTCACAGCCAATTCTTCAGCAGATAAGGACTGATTTTTGATGATAAGAATTAAGAATACTGAAAAGAAATGTACTAGAGACAGTGTACCTGTTGGTGACACATTTATAAAAAATTCCTTTAAAGGTTACATAAATGTATTATTTATTTTACAATAATGCTATCTTTGAATTTTAATGTGTCCAAATTTAAATTATCTTTATTTACATAACACCTCAGATAATAGGGATTAAAACATTTTGGTCCCCAGGGCATATACTTGCTGAGTAATGTCCCTGTATAGCTGCTGTAATTGCCAAAGGGTTGTCATTTCAGGCTGAGCAGCCACATTGGGGTGCAACCCACAGTTTAAGAAGCACTGAAGGGGTCGTGAGTGGAAAAAGTTTAAGAAGCCCTGAGTTCCAAAGTAGTTTGCATCGTGTGCTTCTAGTTCCTTAGGAAAATAAACAGGAATAATTTCTAGAGTCTTATAATCTCTGGAAAGTTAGGATGGAGTCCCTGGAGAAGATGAAAACAATCCCTGAGTGCAAAGTAAACGAGTTCTTAGGCTCAGCAGCTCCAAATGAGAGGGATACTGTATCTCACCATATTTCTTCAACTACCAATAGGCCAACCCTCGCAATCTCTAACCCTACCACTTATGGGTTACTAACAATTTTTCTTAACTGCTAAAATCGATGGCCATTTCTCAGTCCTCACCTTTCTTGACCTCTCTGATACATCCTTTTCCTGGACATTCCTCCTCCTTTGGATTCTGTGACACTGCTCTCTCTTACTTCTTCTACCTATACAATCTATTCCCCCTTCTCACCTTTGCTAATGATAATCCTCCCACCCAATGGGGATGTAGCTAATAATATTGGTGGTACCAAAACAATAGTCATAAAAACCATCCTTCATCCACTCTTACCTGCTTATGTCAAATATACCACCATCCTTAAAAGTTACACAGATTTACAACTCCATAGTCATCCTTTACCTTTCTGTCTACCTTCCCTACATCTTTTCCATCTGTCCCTTCTCTCCACTCGAAAAATCTCTATCATAAATTAGGCACTCAGAAACTCTTGCCTGTATCATGGTAGAATGCTTAATTAGACTATTCCTAGTCTCCCTGCTCTATGATTATACCTGTATTCCTCTCCATGAAAGTCTTCATGCAGAGGCTGTATGATCATGTATGGATTAGACTAAAGGGCCCTGAGGGTCTTTCCAACTCTCAATTTTTGTGATCCTCTCAACAAGTTCAGAAACATCATTTGCTCCCTCCAATTTCTTGCAAAATGTTTTCTTGTATTTTTACCAGCACATAATTATTTTTAACAGCAATCAACTGGAGTTCACTGACATGGGAATGTCATATTTCTGGTTATTTTTTATACTTTACCCATTATTACATGGAAAATCATTATGAGTTATAAAATGACACATCATTCTCATATTCCTCAACTCCTACAAATTTAAATTATTTTAAAATTTTCAAAACTGATTTTTGCATATTTTTGTTATAAGAACTTTTTAAAGAAAAAAGTACCACACGCACCACATTCTACCTTTTATCATAATCATAAATATATGTATTTATGTGTGTGTATACATACATGTAGTGTGCATATCTATCTTTCCACCCTTATTAGATTATAAACTATATAAATGATCAATGACCATATCTTAATCTGTAGCTGTGACCTCCATATTATCTAGCACCACAGTACCTTGCATGAAGTCTCATTATTTGCTGAATTAATACACGAATGAGGGGAAAGGGCCTTGGTAGGCGAAGGCAAAAATTTAGATTTGGTCTATATAAACATACAGACCAGAGGATCACAAATCAGGTCCCTGCACAGAAGAATCTTTCCTATTACAACTGTTATGGAACTTGCAGAGCTTTGACAGCTTTAACAGGACAACAACATCTAATATTTATGTGACTTTTTATGGTTACAAAGCACTTTATATACAATATCTAATATAGCAAAAAAAGAAAACTGGATCTGGGTAAAAAAGATCTAAGAAAGATGCAAGCTCAAGGGTTTTCTATGCTATTTCTCGGCTAGCTGATTTCAAGTAACTCCTTTAAGCTCTCTGAACTTGTCTTTATTTGCAAAGTAGTGAAAAATTCTTTGCAGAGGATAGTTGTGATGATCAAGTAACAAAATGTGCACTAAAAACATGTTCCAAGGTGACCTGGCCATGGTCACACAGCTACAATGCAACAAAGCCAGCTTGCTCTCCCGCGCCTTGCTACCTCTAGCCAGCACTGCTCATCTGATCAGCAAAGTTCTGATTTACCACCACGTTTTTGACAGCATGCTGGTCAGAGTGGAGAGGGTCTGGATGTCCAAGATGGCTAACTTCCTAGGTATGCATCTTCAAGCCTAAGTTCACAAAATGTGAAACCTCTAAAATGCCAATCAGACTCTATGTCACATGCAACTTTGGCACAAAGCTCAGCCACATAAACTTTTGTTTTGTTTTTCACAAAAGCACTAAACACAAATTCTTATCAGCTTTATTTGAGACTAATATGGATGTAAATTTGCTTATAACATTTTATCCTCTTCACATAATAGCTTTATGGTAGCTATAATACAGTAGGGATTATATTGTTCCATTAGGCAGTAAAATGCAGGATACTGTATAAAATCTAACTGTGTCACAGGGTGTTCTCTTTGCATCTTCATGCTAGAGATCTTAACTTGGAGTCCAGGAAATCATTGAAAAATTAAATTAACATGGCTTCCTTTTTTTTTAAAATATTTTTTTTCAGCCAAAGTCAAGGTTTATTAAAGATCCACCTAAGCATTTGTATCACTAATGCAAGCAGGCCAGACCTTAAGACTCTGCACACCTTAATGGAGACAAGATGAATCTTCTATATAGAAAAACTGTAGAAGGGATCCAGGAGTAGCCAAGTAGTCTGGGGTGACTGGAGGAAGGGTCTAAAAGAGGATCTGGATGGGAATGGCCAGTAAGCTGGGGTGAACAGAAAGTCAGGGACCTGGATCATGTGGCCAAGGGAGAATGGAGTCCAGATAGGATTAAGGGTGGGAAGTGGCCAGGGGTAATTGGGAGGTAACAGAATAGAATTGGGAGATTGGGCATAGCCACAATGAAAGGTCAGTTGAGTGGATTACAGCCTCAGGCAAACACCAGAGATTTGGGAAAAGTCCAGAGATTTTCTTTTTTGGGGTCCAGATCTAAAAGACATGGTCTTTTCCTTTTAGGGGTTCAGACCCCATCCCCATCATTCCCCCCTCAAACAAATGGGACCCAATTTTTTTTGTGGTAAGGGGCAAAGGTCTTGCCTTCTGAAACTGCTTCATGCTGGCAAGGGGCATAGAGATGTTCCTGCCTCGAGAGGATCTCAAAGAGGGGACTGACTGGAACTGTGCACAGGCTGCATCCAGGAGATGATGGGTGGACATTGGCTGGTACCCCCTGTTTGCTACAGACTACAGAACACATTTTTTTAAAGTCTGAGAAGGGGCCCCATAAGCTTCACCAAGCTGCCAAAGTGGTACATGACATGAAATTCTACATCTTAGTTTATTTCCAGAATGTGAATAACATATGCCAGTGTTAATAAAACACCTGAAATCTGATAAGAAAGCACTCCTTAATGAGAAACATTTGATTAACTTACCAATATGGTATGAATTTTCATCCCTATTTAATCAGGTTTCTTTTTAGAATTACACATTTCTAAAACTTTCAAGGCATTTTTACTTGCTAGATATTTACATTCAAATTAAACTACAAAAGGAATTATGTGGGTTTCTTAACATTCAGAAGGATGCCTCAATAGTTAATGTCTAAGTTAGAAGCATAAGAGAGTTACAAGACAATAGCACTGATGTCAAATTAGATACTGCTTTCAATTGACAAAGGTGCAAAAGGCATAATGTTCAAGGTCTTCAATATCTGACTATTTATTGAAATGTAGCTATAAACTCACTGAGAGGCAGTATTTTACCTCCCATTTTAAGATGTCACCCAAAACCAAAGAAATCTAACTGAACCTACAATACAAGACACTACAGACTCATAGAAAAACAGACAGACTTTTGTAACTTTGAATGTAACAAATGCACTACTGGAAGATCAACTGGCTTTGCCAACTCCTTTCTGTGAAATCTAGAATATGCCAAAACATGATTTTTTTAAGTTTTTGAGTGATATCTGGAAATATCAATAGGACTACTTTGCCTTTTTAAACGCCTTTTCGAATACATGTACTGAAATTATTGTTAGGGCTTATGGTTAATACATGTAGATGAAAGGCTTGTAAATATATTTATTTACAGATAAACCTTTTGGAAACAAAAAAACTGTCTCTGGTAGACAAAAAAATTAGTAATATAATTTTGTTGAAAAAAATTAAATTGTCAAAGGCAAAAAAGTAATATAATTTTGAATTTACTAATTCAACCTGAAATCCAGGACAGAACTTAGTTATCTCATCTTTGCCCACAAGAATTGTAAGAAATAACAAAATAGAAGTCATTACTAAAAACCAGATCAAACACTTTTATTACCACTCCCATTTGGAAAAACCGCAACATACAACAGCCAGAAAAATAAGCCATGGCCCAATTCTAGACTGTCCATGTCAAACATTATGACAATCCTCCTTTCTTTACTGAGTTGTTAGCAAATACACACACACACACACGTATATGTGTGCATATGTATATGTGTGTATATAAATATATTTTAAAGTTCTACAATACTTTCTATATTACTAGCTAAAGTGAGATATCCTCTCTCCAACATTTACTGTAGACGAAAAAGCTACTACTGCTTAAATGTAAATTCAGCATTTCTGTATCTCCACTAATAACTTCAAGGCACAGTAAGTAAATTATTATTTACAGGATTACAGATCTAGAGTTTGAAGGCACTTCAGAGGTCATCTTATCCAACTGTCATCATTTTGCAAGTAAGGAAACTGAGGCTTAGGAAGGTTTAGGAACTTTGCTCAAGGTCAAACAGTTAAGGATCAGATTCAGAATTTAGTCTTAGGGACCTCTGACTCTGGGGTCAGTGTTCTTTTCCCCTAGCATATACTGTCCCTTCCCCTATCCATGGAACACACTACTATGTTACAGTCATATGAAAAAGAACCTATCTCCCAAAATCCCTCAGTCATAGGCTTCAGGCCTAATTTTTATAATTATTGGCTTCCTTGAAATTTTTATAGGTAAACTCATACCAAGTATGTCTTAATAAAATGATCAAATAGGCATAAACATTATTGAGATTGTCATATTGTAACAAAGTATTTTTGTATACTTATATATTTGTCAATATTTTAATTATGAATACCAAAATGCAATAATTTATCATAATTAGTAAACATAACTAATATCCACGCTGATGGCAAACTGATCTTTACAACATTCTGAGGTAGGTATGGCAAATATTGCTATTATTCAAGAACTTACCAGGAGATGATAGATCCCTGTTTCTGCTGTACTTATGGTCTTCTTTCATATCCACAGTTTCTAAAGGTACATCATGCTGAAATGAAAATTTCAGCATTTAAGATATAAATATATAAGTATATTAACATAACCATATTTTACTTTTAATCAAGTAACACTGGCATCTTTGTGTAAATAAAAGCTATCTTTTTTATAAGTAAAAACAATGGATAGTATTTTTCTGAAACTGTTATTAGCAGCATATTGGTTTTGCCTGAAGGGAAAAGGAGAAAAGTAATGAACTTGTCTGGCAGACCAGAGAATGTGGTTTTCACAGTGTAAGAGCCAAAGGCACAGCAAATGTTTTAAAGTAATTTATTAGGCTGTTGCGATGGAAAGGAAAGAAAAAAAGCAAAGAAAATATAAATTGTTCAATCTACTGCTTTCGTCAGGCTACATATCAAATGACAGAATTTCAGAGACTCTTTGAAAACAAAGTCAGATAGTAATTTACCTGATTTTAAATACTATTAGAAACAAAGTTATTTTAAAACCACCATCATGTTTATCAGATTCTCTGGCCTTATGTAGGGAATAGAGGGCTGGACGTGGCATCAGGAATTTTGTTTCAAACACCAACTAGGTATATAACTGAAAGCAAGTCATTTAACCTGAGGCTTAGTTTCCAAACCTATAAAATGGGGATAATACATGCAGTATTTACTTCACAGTTATTGTAAAGTTTCAAAAAAAATATAGGCACAGTCCTTTGTAAATTTTCAAGAACTATTTAAATGTCAGTTAATACTAGTTATTTGATAAAGAAAAAAAATCACTGTGTAATCAAGGTAATTAATTTTTTTTTACCATTTATCTCAAAAATGCTTTAAGGAATGTAAAATACCTTTTTAAAGTGTAGCAGCATTTCTGTTTCAAGGAGGGTGACACGACTTAAAAGATTATTCCAGACCATTTCATCTATAATAACTTTTCCTTTCAGCTGTTCTTCCAAGTAACGTAACTTATCCTCTATCAAAGTCTGTTTTTTAAGTTTTTCTTGGCATTCAGCAAGAATATTCCGTATTTCTGCAATTTCAGAATTAACATCAGAGTCCTGAAATGACAAAAAAAAAAGGTTTTATAATCCAATACTCATGATGAAAGTTCTTCTAAAAGAATGGTTAACTTTTTTACTATTTCCAACAGGTTATTCAGAATTTATAGTAAAAGACCTCAGCACCCAGTCTTCAGTAAAAGCACCCAGCAGCCAAATCAAGAGAACAACATACACAAAGACTTTTTGTTTGCTGTGCAGTCGTTTTTCAATCATGTCCAACTCTTTGGGAGCCCATTTGAGGTTCTGCTGGCTAAGATACTGGAGTGGTTTGCCACTCACTTCTCACAGATGAGGAAACTGAAGCAAACAATTTTAAGTGACTTGCCCAGGATCACACAGCTATTAAGTGTCTGAGGCCGCATTTGAACTTGGGCTTTCCTGACTCCAGGCTCAGAGCTTTATACACTGTGCTACCTAGCTGCCCTTACACAAAGGCTAGATTAATGTAAATAAAAGCAATGTTAAAAGGGGCAGCTGAACTCAGCCAAACAAATCTTGGTTCTGCAAAACAAAAAAAGGAAGCATACACCTCTCTTCATGTTAGGTGGTGGGTGTATGGGAAGGATAATGAGATCAGAATGTTGCATGTTGACATGGTTGCCTTCTAGTATTATCTTTTGTTTTAACCTCACCTACATTTCCCAAAGAATCCTTCATCTCTACCCTTAGCAAGGGGAACATCTTCCACAAGGAAAACACTTCAGAAAAACCAATACACTGAAAAAGTCTGATATTATCTGAAGTGTTTCACACTCAAAGTCTCCTGTTTATGCAAAGAAGCAAGAGAAGAGAGACAACCTTGGCTGAAATACTTTCACAGCATTCAGTTTCAAATTTTCTGCGACTGATTTCTTTCCATTTCACATTGCTGTGGTCACTGAGTATTCTGTTTTGCAGTTTCTCCTTACTTCACTTTGCATTGGATTATACAATTCCCATGCTTTTTTGTATTTATCAGTCACTATTTCTTACCATAGAGTAATATTCAATGCATTTGTATGCTACAATTTATTTAGCCATTTCCCAACTGAAGGGTATTTACTTCTGAGTTCTTTGCTAAGACGAGGAGTGCTATAGGTATTTTTATGTAAATGTTTTACATAAGTTTTAAAACAGGGATATTTGATATTTTCTCAGCTGACTTCTTTCCTGATTCTGTATATTCTCCTTAATATCTATACTACATAAATGATTCTAAAAAACTGAAAAAGAAAACACCCTACTAAATTCCTTTCCTAAGACAAATACAGTCCAGATACCTGAATGAGGGAAAGATAAAGCAAAGAAAGAGAACTAGAGATCAGTATCACTAAATAATGATTTTAAAGTTTTAAATAAAACCCTAGGAAGAAAAACCTATGGCAATATAGTCCTAAAATTATTCAGTATGACCATGCTGAAGTTATACTAAGGATGCAAGAATGGTTCACTATTAATCAATTAACATAATTAATCGTATTAAAAACAAAAATACCACAAACCATAGGAGCACATCAATAGACACAGGAAAATCTTTTATAAATTACAACACTCATTTATGCTAAACCTCTTATAAAAATATGAGAACAGTAAATTTGGGAGGGGTTATGGGAAAATAGGTACACTGGGGCACTGCTGGTAGAGGTATGAATCACAACAACCATTTTGAAAAGCAATTTGGAATTATGCAAATAGTGACTAAAATATCCATACCCTTTTGACCCAGAAATTCCATTACTAGGCTTATGTCTCAGGAGTCCACTGCTAAGAGTAAAGTCCTAATATAGACCACTGTATTTATGGTAATACTTTTTATGGTAGCAAAGAATCAGAAGGAAGCAAAGCAGATGCCCATCTGTTGGGAAATGGCTAAACGAAGTGTTGTACATGAACATAATGGAATATAACTGTGCTGGATAAAAAAAACGACAAATGTGATAAAGAGCATGGAAAGTTCTACATGAACTGATGCAGGGTGAAGTAACAAGAGTCAAGAAAACAACATACACAATGACTATAATATAAACACAAAGAACTACACAAAAACATACATACACACATTCACAAAATCAAAAGTGAATGTTGCAAAACTATGAAGAACAAAACATGGCTCAAAAGAAGAGATATGAGAAGACACTCCCACCTTGCCCCTGTGCAGCAGTGGGGAGTGCAGAAATTTTGTACATTGTAATAACAGCTAGCATTTACTTAAAGCCTACTGTATTCCAGACTACCTAGTTGCCTCTACATTTTCAAAATTTTTCAATATATTGATCAGATATAATGATTTTCTTCCACTTCATTTTCTTATTGTCTTTAAAAAATATTGCTTGTTACAAGGCATGGCTCTCTAGAAGGGAGGGAAAAGGGCACTAGGGAAAATTATAGTGATATAAAAATATATTAATAAAACTTACTTTAAAATGGAAAAACAGAAACACTATAAAACATATGACTATATAGATATAAGAAAGCCTTTAACAAACTACAACACTCATTTATGCTAAATCTCTATAAAGCATAGGTATAGGAGACACATTTTTTATATGATAAAAAGTATATATTTAAAAACAAAGTTAGTATTATTTGCCACAGGAAAGCACTATAAGCTTTCTCATTAAATACAGGACTAAGGCAAGGACGCTCCCTCACTTTCCCCACAATCTGACATAGCTGTAAAATTTGTTATCAAAACCAATAAACAGAGAAAGAAATTAAAGGCCTAAACACAGACAGGAAATACTATCCTTACTGGTTGACAACATTATGGCTTATTTAGAAAACCCTTCAGAATCAGCTAGGAAACTGAGACAACAGTTTCAGTAAAAGAGTAGGATACAAAATAAATTCACAAACATTAAGAGCATTTGTATACAGTACTAAATTCAAAAGAAAATGATAGAAGTCCCATTCAACATAACAAAATGCATCAAAACATGGAAGTCAATCTAAGGTACACTCAAGACTTACATAAATATAAATTATAAAATACTCTTTAAAGGAAGCCTTAAATAATTTGAAGGTTATTTTTACTGCTCATGGCTGGGCTATGCCAATATGATAAAAAAAATTATAAAACTACTTAAATTAAGTTATAAATTTAATGCTGTATTAACCAAACTACCAAGGATATACTAATTTATAGATCAAGGCAAAATAACAAGACTCATCTGGCAGAACAAAAAGTCTATTATTGTTACTAGGAAACAATAGGAAAAAATTTGGAAGACGGAATTATCACTTTTCACCTCAAATTACACTAAAAAGCAGTAATCACCAAAACTATTTGGTACTACTTAAAAAGTAAAGGCAGATATGTGGAAGAGGGTAGATGAGGAAGAACCAGAAAGAACTAAAAGCAGTAACTCAGTATTCAATAAAGGCAAGAACATAAATTATTTGGAGAACTCCCTATAAAAAAAAATGCTGAGAAAACTAAAAAGCAGTTTGGAGGAAATCAGGTTTAGGCCAGCAATTTTTACCATTTATTGCGACAATAAATTCTTTGTCTTCTTTTTTATTTGGCGAGGCAACTGGGGGTTAAGTGAGTTGCCCAGAGTCACACAGCTAGTAAGTGTCAAGTGTCTGAGGCCGCATTTGAACTCAGGTCCTCCTGACTCCAGGGCCAATGTTCTATCCACTGCACCACCTAGCTGCCCCAACAATAAATTCAAAACAGATATTTAACCTAAATATTAAATGTTATACCTTAGTAAAACTGAAGGAAAGCCAGATCAGGTGCCTTTCATAGATATGGCACGGGAGAAAAATTCTCAACCAAAAAAGGAAGAGGCAATCAAAAGATACAATATATAGTTTTGATTACATGCAAATGAAAAGCTCTTACACAAACAAAATCAATTCGTTTAAGAAAAGAAGTTGTCAAATAGAGGGAGAGAATTACATCGAATATCTCTAATAAGGATCTGATATTGAAGATACAAACATAACGGAAGTAGACCAAGAGATAAGTGGTAAAAGGTTATAAACAAACAGTTTTCAAAGGAAGAACCGCAGGTTATTAGTAACTACAAGTGAGATGGATCCAAATGACTAATGGGAGAGAGGAAAAGCAAATAATTTGGAGATTTTACAGCAAACTGGCAAAGATAACAAGAAAATTAAACAGCCAATGCTGGAGGATGGGGGAGGGCACGTTGATATAGTACACATGGAGCTGTGACTGGGTCCAGCCGTTCTGGAGAGCAATTTGATGATGATTAAAAAAAAGTTATCAAAATATGCACTGAGCATAAAGCCTTATGTGTAGCACAACACTGACAGCTGCACTTTCTGTGGTAGCAAAGACATACAAACAAAGTAGCTGCCAATTGACTAGGGAATGGCTAAGCAGACTATGATACACGAATGCAAAGGAATATCACTGTATACCATAAGAAACTATGAATACTTCAAATTCAGAGAAGACAGGAAGATTTTATGGAATGATACAGAGTAAAATAAGGAGAACCAAGAAACAGAAATAGAAAGAACACTGGAAAAACAGAAACTGAATATTACGTACTTATGCACAAATCTGGTCATAAAGCCCAGACTAAAGGAAAGAAAACATGCCTTCCTCCCTTATATGCAGAAGCGGAGGAATATGAGGTGTGGAATACTTCTGTCAGCCTTGGCTGCTGTTGGGCTGTGTTAAATTGTTCATGTGTAATACGTGTGTGTGAATACATACATACACACACACACACATATATATGTATATACACACACACACATATATATGTATATATACACACACACACAAATATTTATTGATTCTTGATTACAAGAGATGGCTTGCTGGGGAAAGGAATAAATGAAAGTGATTTTGTCAACTGTAAAGTCATTTCTAAATTAAAGTGATATAAAACCAAAAGATATCAATATAGTTTTAAATTAAAAAGATTATTCCAGACCAGTTCCTGCATAATCACTTTTCCTTTCAGTTGTTCTTCCAAATAACGTAACTTATCCTCTATCAATATCTGTTTTTTAAGTTTTTCTTGGCATTCAGCAAGCATACTCCGTAGATCTTCAATCTTAGCATTAAGTTCTGTGTCCTGAAATAATTATTAAAAAAAAAACCTGTTAGGTTTTAGAATATAATACTCAAGACTGAAGTTCTTTTAAAAGACTATTTGACTTTATTTCCATTTGGTATCTACTGTTTAGGAAAAATCAGCATCAAAAGGCAACTGAACTCAGATCAATTGCAAAGAACAATCTTCATTCTGGAAAACAGATGAAACACACATCCTTCCTCACAAGAAAGGTGGGGGCGAGCAAGAGATGTGGAATGCTGCATCAAATGCTGTCAGACATGGTTCCACGCTAAGTAGATTTTGCTTAATTGTTTATCTTTGTTACAAGGTAAAATATAATGAGTGTGTGGGGCCAGGCAAAGAAATATCGGGAAATAAATTATGACGCAAAAACAAAACCACCAGGAAGCTTCAGTAAAAATCGTTAAAATAAACTAGTGTGTCCATTATTTTTTGAAGTTATACCTGACACACTTCAGATACCTTCACTATAGGAAGGAAAGGAACACTTTGGCTGTTACTATCTATCAAAGGCTGGCTGAGAAGTATATGGGTGAATAAAAAAGGGACAAAAATGATAAGAAAAAAAGTGGAAAGAAAGAAGAGTGTAGTAGAAAGCAGAACTGGTAATGAGGCGGCAGCAACAGCAGGAGTATTAATAGAGATTATAAGTAGTGATGGGTATAAAGAGCTGCAGAGAGCAACCAGAATGACAGGCCAATTCTAAAAAAAAATGTAGAGGACAAATAGCTACCTCAACCTGAAAACCTCAGTTCCCTGAGAGAGCAGCATGTCATAATACTGTAATTCATAAGGGCATCAGCAAGAACTATTAAGGCACCATAACCTGTATAATTCAGCAGTTTTTTTTTGGGGGGTGTTGCATTCACTACATACAGTGTTATAGTAAGTAGGCAAGCCAAGACATTCAGCCCTATGCCTTATCCCAGTAATACCTGTATCTATACATACATCTAAAATTATGTACAGGTTAAGAATGAGTCAAGAACTCAAGAAACATAATAGTTGCGTATTTATGTAAAAAATGACCAAGCACAATGCAGAAGCATCTCGATGGCTCAGGTTAACAGAGCTAGATCTGAGGAAGACCTGAGCTCAATCCAGCCTCGGACATTTACTAGTGGCATGACCTTGGACAAGTCACTTAACTTGTTTGCCTTAATCCATTAGAGAAGGAAATGGCAAACCAATCCAGTATCTTTGCCAAGAAAACCCCACACAGGGTCATGAAGAGGTGAACACAATTGAATGACAACAAGCTTGGTGCTGGAGATAAGAAAAGAGTACCTCCCTCCCCCTTCTTCACAGGGGTAGAGAATGAAAAGTGGGTATATTGCTTACATTTAAATTGTGTTAGCTGACCTGTTTTTCTTTTTCTTTCTTTTTTTTTTTTTTTAAATTCCTTGTTACAAGGGATGGTATTTGGAAAGATAATGATATAAAAACAAAATATCTGGAAAAAATAACTTAAAACTAGATTAGTAGCATCTTCTTTGCATACCTGACAGTAAATAGTGTATGTGCGCGCGTGCGCACACACACACACACACACACACACACACAGAGGTAGTCCCATACTTAAGAGTTTTTGCTATAAAATTTATTTATACCTGAATTGTTTAAAACTCAGAACCTATTTCTTCATAGAAACAATTTCTTTTTTCTTTCATCCTACAGTTTAAATTTTGCTACAGTGATACCCCACCTCCAACCTATACATACGTCAAACTTCCAGCAAACCACCCTCTAAACAGAAACAGTTAGCCAAGCCTGATCTCTTACGTTTAAAACACATAAACTTTTGTTAGTCTGTTTATTTATCAATGATCATACTGAAGACCTAGAGACATCAAGAGATTAAAATGTGTTATGTTCTCTTTAAGAAATCTAAGAAATGTGAAAGAAAATTTCCATCAAAATTGTTTATAGTTTTTGTGCTTCAATAAGTTTCAGATATCTGGAAAATTCACTTAAAAGTTCCTAATAATTTCAGATAAATGAGGTATTACTGAAACTTTTTTCCATTGCTAGAGTAACTCCTATACATCTGTGATGTGGCACTAAAGTTCAGAAGAATAACTGGGTCTGAATATATAGGTATGGAAGTCATCTGCGTAGAGATGATAGTAGAATCAAATTGAACTGACAAGATAAAAAAAACAAAACAATTTAGAGAGTAGTCATTACAGTAGATGACTCTTATTCAGCATCAGTATCTCCTGAACTCCAGTTCCACCTATTACCAACTACCAAGTGAACATCTGGAACTGAATGTTCCACATGCATCTCAAATTCACCATGTCTAAAATAGAAATCATTATCTGCTCCTCAAAATCCTCCTCTCTCCTCTTCCTAGCTTCCTCATTTCTTTTGAGGTTGACACAATTCTTCCAGCTATACTGAGGTTTGCAACCTCAGAGTCATATTCAACTCTTCCCTCTACCTCATCCTCCATATTCAATAACTTGCAAAGTTTTCTTGATTTTTCACATCCATAACATTTCTCACATCAGCCTAAACAATACCAGCCTCCCTCAGGTACTCATTATCTGTTGCCTGTACCACTGAAAGGTCTTCTAATCAATCTCCCTGGATCAAGACTCTCCTTTCTCCAATCCATTCTACATGGAGCTGACAAAATGACAGTCTGAAAGCACTGGTCAAATCTTGTTACTCATCTGCTTATGATGCTCTCCTGTATCTCTCTTTTCTCCCAAACCAATTCTTTATTTTCGCAAGGATTCTCTCTTCGATTCTCTCATCTCTCCATCCTTAGATATTCTGCCAGGCTATCACCCCTGCTCTAAACTCACTTTCCTCACTTCCTGATCTCAATCTTATAATAAACCAGTTTAACTCTGCACAGCCTCAATTTTTTTGCCTCCAGCTTACTGATGCTGAATCCTGGATTACTTCCATTATCTTTCTTATTCTCCTACTCATGTGTTAGTGAACAAATCTGGAGGGAAAATCACATAAACTGAAGCTACTACAGATTTCTATTATCTAATTTCAAGAGGGTCCTCATCATAGCCAAGCAATCCTTTTACTCCTTCCCTTCTCTCTTTGTTAAGCAGTTAAATATTACACTGTTAACACAGTTCTTTTGAATTCCTTGCTTCCCTGCCATTTGCTACTTAGGACTTGTTTCCAGTTCTTAATCTACTGTTCAATTTTTTAAAACTAGCCCAATAGCTTTTTCTTAATTTATTATTTATTTTTAGTACTCTTTTTTTTTAAATTCTGAGTTCCCAAGTTCTTGCCATCTTTTCCACCCCTTGCCCACCCATTAAGAAGACAAGAAATGTGATAACATTTACATATGTGAAATCATGCAAAAATACATTTCCATATTACTATGTTGCATTTTTTAAAAGAAAAATAAAGTGAAAAAATTATGCTTCAATTTGCACTCAGAGTTCATCAGTTCTCTGGAGATGGATAACATTTTTCATCATAAGTCCTTTGGAATTTTCTTGGATCATTACATTAATCAGAATAGCTAAATCATTCATACAATATTGCTGTTACTGTGTTACCTTTTGTGCACAGGGTTCTTTTGGTTCTGCAAACTTCACTGTACATAAGTTTAGGCCCTCACCAGCTCTAGCTCCCAGACTGCTGTAATAACCTTTCACTTTGTCTTCTTGCCTTAAGTATTTCCCCTCTCCAATTCATCACATAACTGACAGCGATTTTCCTAAAATACAGGCCTGATCATGTCATTTCCCTACTCAATAAACTCCAAAGACTTCCTATTGTCTCTAATAACTGTAAGAAATATAAACACCTCTATTTAGCTTTACGGTCCTTTACATACAATACTATCTAGCCAGATTGTTGTTTTTGGTATTTATCACACATGATACTCCATTTCCTGTCTTGGCATATGTGCACTGAGTGTCCCCTTTACCTTTCACTCTTGCAATTCCTAATTTCCTTCAGGACTCGGCTCAAGCACTCCTTTCTACATGAGGGCTTTCCTGACCCTCTGAGCTTTTTTCCCTCCTCCTTGTCGCCATAGCACCATATATTAATTTTTTATCTACCTTTATACATATATATTGCCTACCTTGACAGAATATAAGCTCCTTAAGGACAATGACTGTTTCACTTTGGTCTTTCTATGACCAATGCTCCCTAAAACAAGGCCTGGCATAAATTGGGTGCTAACAAATGTCAGATGAAATATAAACTTCTTTCTTCAGCTACCTCTCAAGACTTATTATTTACTAGCTGTGTGACCCTGGGCAAGTCACTTAACCCCACTGCCTAGCCAAAAAAAAAAAAGACATTGCACATTTGCCTCCTTCACTGTCCAACCAAATGGGTCTGTTTGTTGTTTTCTTTATACAACATCCCATTTGTTATCAGTACCTTTGTGTAGGCTTCCTTTATCTCCCTTAAGTCTTTTTTAGAAAGCACCCCCTCCTCCCTTAGACCTCTGGGAATCTCTAGCTTCCTTCAAGGTGTAGTGAGGTGCCACCTCTTACAGAGCGCCTATCCTGATCTCTCCACAACTGTCAGTTATTTGCCTCTAGAAATTATTGTGTGTATATCATATTTATATATTCATCATACAAGTTGTTTTTCTCTCAATGGAAGCTCTTTGAAGGCATTGAAGATGTTTTTGCTTTTTTGTCTGATGCCTAGAATACTGTAGGTACTTAATAAATGTTTGATGAATGAATGCAAACTCTAGCCAAATACCAAAATCATAATTAGAAGGCTTCAAAGGAATGAAATTCTATTAAAATTATAGATCTTTTTGGTTCACAGAAGTGTAACTGTTAAAATGTAACTACAAACATACTTCATATCACCAGTCCCAATTAAATATTATCCTTATCTAATATATTTCATTAATTCAATTAAGTTATTGAGTCTAAGGTGCAAAGGAATACTAATATACATTACAAATTCAGAATTACACCTGACTTCACAAGGCAAGGTAAAGATCAACATAAACAGACAGATAAGGGAATAAAAACATGCTTTGGAAGCTGAATAAAGCTTTTAAGAGCTCCAATTTAATTATACAATCAGATACTGTTATTTATTGTAAAGGTATAAAAATCTTACTTGTGATTCACATGTGACTTCAATAACATCTCTTCCAGGTTCATCAAAATTTTCATTACCTTCAGTTTCAGAAAAGAGTACGTGAGAAAAATTTTCACTGTTTGGGTGACGTTCCACAATTGGCTTTTTCTATGTTAAAAAACAAAATAAAGCACACTTAAAATCTAATCAACAAGCATTTATTAAACTGGTACTCTGTACCAGACACTGCACTAGGTACTAGGGAAACAAAGACAAGAGAAAAATATTCCATTCCCAGAAGGATCTTACATTCTATTAGGGGAAACAACATATGTGCAAAGTAAATGCAAGATAATTTCAATGGAGACGGGTAAAGAATTGGGTAAAATCAAGAAAAGTCTCAGGTAGGAAGACAGTGGATCTTTTTTTGTCTTTTAAACTGTATCTACCCATCTTACCTTGGCTGGCAGTACAGTTATTATTCCACCTCTATAGGCACAAGCACTTTGACTTGCTCTGTTTCTTAATTGGGCTGGTTCGTGCCTCCTTAGGCAACTTGGTGGCTACCCACTACAGAGGGTTCTCCATAGAATACTGAACTTAGTACATACTTAGCTCATAATTCAGCTTAGCCCATGTAACTCAGAACTCCTAAGCTCAAGTGATTTACCAAACTCAACCTACCAATATATAACATCACGCCCAGCTTTGAGTTCATCTTTGAAATAAAGTAGGGATTCTAATCAAGGAATTTTAAAAAAATGTGTGTGTGTGTGTGTGTGTGTGTGTGTGTGTGTATATGTGTGTGCAAATATATGTGTGTGTGTATATGTATATAATATACATATACATATATAAAAATACAACTCTTACTATGTACAAAGCATTGTGCATATACATAGAAAAGCAATAGTCCCTCTTCTCAAGGAGTTCTTCTTCTAAAACAGGAAGACAATACATATTACAAGTTTCAGCTATAAGTCAGAGGGAAAGGCTCCAGAGTGCAGCAGCAAATCACACAGTAACACATCTTTGTCATTTCCACTAATAGAACCGTATCTACTTCTGATGTTGGACCGTTTGCCAGGAGGAAGGTATTGGGAATATTTCGCTCCAAGTCTTCAGTCACTGAGATTGTGAATGAGGGAAGGTGGGTACAGCACCTGCAGAAAATGCTGACCAGCTACATCCCTACAAGAGTTGCTTGCCTGGATGATGCTGCAGGTTTGGTAGTCAGTCTAGGGGGCAAAGCTGTTTCCAGGACTTTAGAGGAGTGGCGAGGAGGGGAAATGGTTAATAGGAGGAGCTGGTAGAAATGAAAGGCCTCTTCTACACAAATGCTGCTGTCCTAGATGATGTCTCTAGCAGTCAGACTACAAGTAAGATAAGTTCCTGCAGGAGTAGGGCACTGCAATTCCCGAGGGTCCAAGACTCTAGGTCTGTTTCTACTGCGAGTATGACAGGAAGTGGTGGCTGAAGTGGTAGTGGTGGTTTGCCCCATGTGGCACAAGCCATGTCACATCTGCCCTACTGGGGGAAACTGGTAAATAATTGGTGGCAGGTGACAGGAGAGAACAGTGTGTCTCTTTTTCACAAAGTTCACTTCTCTGGATGATAGCTGTGGAGTGAAGGGCACAGGCAGGGCTTATGACCTAAGCCTATCGCTATTCCTAGGATTCTGGGAGCTTCTCTGTCCATCTTTGAGCAGTGGTTGGTGACCAGTGATTTCAGAGACCAAAATTCCATGTCCAAGTGACTTCTCTCAATTATGGCTATTGGGGCAAGGCTAAAAGGGTAGGTCTGGGGAAGGGGAAGAGGGGTCACTGAAATTCTCAGGGCTTATAAGAGTTCTTGTACTTCACCACAGTAAAGCCCAGCAGCTAAAGATAATTCCCTTTGAGCACTGCATGGAAATGGGAGACAAAGGTTCTTTAGTAAGGAACAGTAAGGTCAGAATGGATTAATTGCAGAGTGACTGAAGAGAAGTAATATATAACATATCAGAAGAGGTAGGCTGGAACCAAATTGCAAAGAGCTTTAAAGGCCAGAGGAGTGTGTATGTAATCCCAGAAACATCAAGAAACCACTAAAGCTTATTGATGGAATCTAGCTACTGCCCCCAGCCCCAATCTAGCCACTACCCCCACCCCCAATATCCCAACTTCTTCATATGCCTTACTGCCTCGCTAGAATAGCAGATGTGCCCATGTTCTCAATCACATCATCCATTTAGCCTCAGACAGGACCACAATAGCCAGCCAATCAGAAAGCAGCACTAACAGGTCATGGCCTAGGATGTTTGACCACCATATGCACAGTAATAGCAAAGAAGTGCCCTAAGGTGAACTTATGACATAGAGAGGCTTATTATAATATTATTATCATAAATAAATGCCTTCTCCCCACCCCACCACTGGGGGCTTTTCAGTATGCATTCTGGGTAACCAGCATGTGCAGTTTCACCAAGGCTAGGACCTCTCCTATATCAATAAACACCTCCAATATTTTAATATTCATACATTCTATAATGATATAATGGCATCTTTTGCTTTATAAAAATCTGTCTTGCTCTGTTAAGCTGCTGGTTCCTTCTTGGAACTTAGCCAACTTTCTGAGTGGCGTAATTCTCAATAAATTCCTTTATTTGGGTTGAAGATGGTTCAAGTCTATGAATTCTTTTGAACTGACCCTGCAACACACCTTGAACCCCAACTCCCATTATTAGTGCTTTCATTTTCCTCAAATGATTATGTTTATACTTCTCTAAGCATACTTTATATCCTCTTCTCTCCACCCCAGGTAAAATGTACGCTTCTTGAGTTAAGTTTTCCTTTTGTCTTTGTATTCTCAGCACCTAACAAGGTCCCTCACACATAGTGAGCATTTAATAAATGCTTCTTGGATTCTATTAGATGTTGTAGCTCTCTCAGGAGAACAAAAGTTCTCTGAGAACAAGACACTTCAATTTTGTCTTGATATCCTCCTCCCCCACAACTCAGGCATCTAGCACCGTGCCTCGCAGAGTGTAGTTTAATTCAATTCAATTCTTTGGTATACATCAGTGATGCTTTCTAAGTGATGTGTAAAGTATACTTCTATCAAAACATATTTCAAACATCCATACCTGCTCTGAAGGCACACCCCTGAATGTGAAGTCAGGAACAACAGGTTCTACAAGAGTTTTCTCAAAATTTATAAAAGCCTGTGACTTGATGGGACGAATTTTCTTTTTCTGTGCTACAGCCTGAAAAAGGAAGGTAATCAAAACAATATTTTTTTTAGCAAAGGATCACATAGCTTTAAATATTTTACCACTTCATTATTCATATAAGGTATGACTATAGAACAATAAGGCTGCTTCTGTGAGATCTGTTGGAGGTCAGAAGAAGAGTGATCACTATCTTATCAATATCTTCTAAGTTGAGGAAGCAATACTTTCAAAGTTGATTACTCAGTTTTGTGACTGCAGCTATGCTAAGAAAAAAATATGTTTTATTTCAGGAGTAAAAATAAAGTTAAACAAATCTGTACTTGACATGTCCAAAGAAGCTTATGGAAATGATGTGATGTCAATTTTGGCTGACATAAAAAGTTTAAATAATATAGGGAAGACGTCCATAATGATAAATTAAATAGAGTGTGATCATAGGTATGTGACATCGTATATTTTAGCTTCCTTATTCACACAAGGACAAATACATCCATAAATAGCTATCTCAATATTGCTGTATCAAGTGAGAAAATTATGTGAAGTGCTTAAGTGTCTATTACCATAATTATTTCTATTTAGTTAGCTGAAAAGTCTAAACTAGAAACTCAATCTCCTGGCTTCTACATAGGGCTCTTTCAACTATATCAGACTGCCATCTATATTCTATCAGATAATTAATGATAAAAATGACTGAAAGGTTAATTTAGATAACCTTATTCTGGAAGAAAACCTGAATTTGACAAAAGTTTTTACAAAAGCTAGAATATATGTTTGGAGTGATAAGCAGAAACAGCAAAGACTTAACATCTGTTCTGATTGCTCAGTTTAAAAGTGAACAAAACCAAAAAGGGAAGACTACATAAGCAGGGATTAAGCAGAAAATGATGTCACAGAAACCATAGCAGAGCATAAAAATCTACAAATGGAAAACCCAAATAGCATTAAGCTGTGAGAAAACATGCATATTAAAACCACAAAGACAATATTGAATAATTTATTTGATTTAAATGGACTTGTTTATGAAGAATTCATCCCACTAGGTAAAAAATTCAATCAGGATAAATTACAGGAACAACTCATTTCTCTGTATGTCACTTAATAAAATCAACAATCAATAATTAAATTTTAAAAGGCTCTTAAAACTGTATATGTTTATAAAACTGTATATATTTATAAAACTGTATAGATATGTAAGTTCTATATATATCAGTTATTATTACTGTTATTGCCATTGTTAACTGAGAAATGAGACAACACTTGGATTTAAAAGTTTTGATATATTTATAAAACTAGTCTCAAGTAAAAAGATTTATATTTACCAAGTGGAAAAAAGAAAAACAAAAATATAACCAAATTAACTGTCAAATAAGTGATCTTAAATCTAAAACACACCATTCCTAAAGTTAAAAGTTTTAAAATAAAGCTTTTAATTTTTTTTAAAGAAACAACAAGCATAAAGAATCAAAAGATTCATGCAATCTGATGCAAAGTGAAGTAAGCAGAGCCAAGGAAAAAATATATACAATGACTACAACAATGTAAATGGAAAGAACAACTACAAAACTATAAATAGTGAATGTTGAGCAATTTCAAAGAAGTATGGTCCTAAAGATGAAATATGAGAAGACATTCTACCTCCTTTGTCAGAGGTAAGAAATTCAACGGGAGCAGTACATTGCATATATTTTCAGAATTTTTCCACATACTAATCAGTTTTGATCATTTTTTTCTTTTTTCTTCTTTTATAAATTTAAATTTGCTGTATGTAATGACTGGGAGATGGAGGATGGAAAAGGTACTGGAAGAAATTTAGGTGATTTTTAAAAAAAATTTGAAATAAAAAGATCTGTTAGAGGTCAGAAGCAGGAAAGTTATTTTAAAAGCCCCTTCTAACAGTGCAACAGTAATGCTTACAATGAATTTTCTGAATATAATACATTTTATGCACTGAAGTATTAGATAATTTATATAATTTGACAATGAATTACCTTATCCAGGTTACACAGTTCCTTATGTTTTTTCATCACCAAATTCAAAATATCACAGACAATCTGTATCTTCCATTCAACAAACCCATACTGGAAAAACTGCTTTTTTGTCAAAATTGGCTTATAATGAAATTTATCTCGAAGAAGCTACAAAGATAAAAAATAAAAATCAACATAACATGGAAATTTATTTTCAAAATAAGAATTGTTCCTGTTTACAATATTACGTTAGTGTGTATGGGACAACGCATCTGTCTCAATTACTTTCCTAGAGTATAAAATGATGTCTTCCCTAACTGGAACAGTACATACTGATAGTTTATTGACTTTTAGCTATTTTGAGTTCTCAGTAGCTGTGAATATACAAAACGAACTACAGCTAAATAAATGACTTGAAAGGAAGAATACAAAAACTAGGAGACAATAAATGGAATCAAAATACTAGAAGCTTGTCTAGACAAATAGCACAACAAGCAGGAGTATAATTACTATAAATTAACACAGAGTAAGTAATACAGGATATATCTTCCAGAGGTAGAGGATAGCAACTCAACAATCTGGAGACCTTTCACTAGGTGATACCTTCGTGTTAAGGATGGCTCATTAGGTAGAAGAAGGATGCTCTGAAATGAGCATGTGATATAAAAGCAATAGGTAGCAATAAAAATGAAAAAAAAAATTATATGAACAGTAATGTAACACATGGGTTAGCCATCTGTCATAAGTTTCTCCTGTTGTGATTTAATCAATTTCTTTGCTTTGTAATGTTGTATCTGTCATATTTGGTGCCTTTTTAACTCTCTTACTGTGAAAAGTATTCAAGATTCATAGGCATGAGGATTTCATAACATCTATAATCACTTAGCCCCTTTTTTTTTAGTAATGATTATTTTTTTAAATTTTTTTATTTAGTATTTTATTTTTCCTCAGTTACATGTAAAAACAATTTTAACATTCATTTTTAAAACTTTGAGTTTCAAATTCTCTTCCTCCCTCCCCTCCTCACTGAGAAGGCAAGCAATACAATATAGGTGACACATGTGTAGTCATGCAAAACACTTTCATAATAGTCATGTTGTGAAAAACTATTTCCCTCCATCCTATTCCCCTACCTCCATTTATTCTATTCTCTCTCCTTTCACCATGTTCCTCCTCAAAAGTGTTTTGCTTCTGACTACCTCCTTCCCCAATCTGTCCTCCCTTTTATCACCCTCCCTCCCACATTGTTTTTTTCCTCTTCCTCTCCACTTTCCTGTAGGCTAAGATCAGTCAAGTGTATAAGTTATTCCCTCTCTGAGCCAATTCTGATGAGAGTAAGATTCAATTACTCCCTCTTAACCTCTGCCCTCTTCCCCTCCACTATAAAAGCTTTTTGTTGACTCTTTTATGTGTTAATTTACCCCATTCTACCTCTCCCTTTCTCTTTCTCTCAGTCCCTTCCTCTCTCACCCCTTAATTTTATTTTTTAGATATCATCCCTTCATATTCAACTCACACTTGTGCCCTATGTCTATATATACTCCTTCTAACTACCCTAATAATGAGAAAAGTCTTACGTTACAAATATCTTTCCATGTAAGAATGTAAACAGTTTAACTGAAGTCCCTTATGATTTCTCTTTCCTGTTTACCTTTTCGTGCTTCTTTTGAGTCTTGTATTTGAAAGTCAAATTTTCTATTTAGTTCTGATCTTTTCTCAAGAATGCTTGAAAGTCCTTGACCTCATTGAATGCCTCTTTTGCTTCTTAACTTCAACAATATTTCCTAATATTTTTCACTATTCTCCTCTTTGCTCACCAGTGAAGTCACTGAATACTAAAGGAAGGTGACCTAGCTGAAGAAGTAAGGCATTGTGAGGAACAGAGAAAAGGTAACATGTGCCAGGAAAGTAAACCACCACCACCACCACCACCACATCTACTAGAGACCCTGAATACACATAGTCCAAGACTGAAGCCAGAAGCCCTGGGGATAGGATACCCTCCAAACCATCAGTCCTACTTCCAGTGAACTAAATTCCTCACCACCACCATCAACTAACCACCATCAGCCAACAACAGGCTGAGTCCTTCCAACAAGACTCATTCCAAAGGCAGCACACTGTCTTTTCCCTCCCCTTCCCTTTTACTCCCCACCCAGGTCCTTCTTCCAAACTAACCCTTGGAACCATCACACTGAGAACCAATTTCCATCGAGATGTAGCCTGGCAACTATTTCTGCAGGTACTTCAGTCACAGCTACCAAAGACCCAGAAGGAATGTAGATGCCACCAATATCCCTGGTTCTGTCAAATGGTTCAACATCAGGGATTTTTTCAATGGAGATGGCATTGAAGAAGAGGCATTACTTCAGAACCATGGGACTTTTCTATCTGAACTGCAGCTGTGAATTTTTTTATGTGTTGTCTCTCTCTTGGGAACGTGAGCTCACTGAGAGCTAGAATTGTCTCACAGTGCTTTGCACACACTAAATACTTAGTAAATAAATGCCTTTTCATTCAGATATTCACTACATATACTACTGTGGGCAAGAATCCCTTAGAAGAAATGGAGTAGCCCTCATAGTCAATAAAAGGGTGAAAAAAGCAGTACTGGGGTATAATCTCAAAAAATGACTGAATGACATCTGTTTGAATCCAAGGCAAACCATCCAACATCACAGATACAAGTCTATGCTCCAACCACTGATGCTGAAGAAGTCAAAGTTGATCAGTTCTATGAAGGCCTACAATATCTTCTAGAAATACCACCAAAAAAAGATGTCACATTCATCAAAAGGGATTGGAATGCTAAAACAGGAAATCAAAAGTAACAGGCAAGTTTGGCCTTTGAGTACAACATGAAGCAGGACAGAGACTAATTTTGTCAAGATAACTCACTGGTCGTAACAAACAATTTTTCAACAACCCAAAAGGTGACTTTACACAAGGACATCACTAGACGGTCAACACAGAAATCAGACTAATTAAATACTTTGCCACCAAAGGTGGAGAAGCTTTATACAGTTAAAACAAGACTTAGAGCTGACTGTAGCTCAGATCATGAATTTATCATTGCAAAAATCAGACTTAAATTGGAGAAAGGACAGTAAACTCTCATACCATATAATTATGACCTAAATAATATCACTTATGAATATGAAGTGGAGGTGATGAATTTAAGGGATTAGATCTGGTAGACAGAGTGCCTGAAGAACAATGGACAGAGATTTGCAATACTATAGAGGAGGCAGCAACAGAAAACATTCCAAAGAAAAAGAAGAGCAAGTAAGCAAAATGGCTGTCCAATGAGGCTTTACAAGTAGCAGAAGAAAGATAGAAAGGGAAAGTAAAAGGAGAAAGGGAAAGAGATACCCAAATGAATGCAGAATTCCAAAGACTAAGAAGGAAAGATACGGTATTCTTAAATGAACAATGCAAAAAAAAAGAAAACAACAGAATGGAAAAGACAAGAGATCTCTTCAAGAAAATTAGAGGTATCAAGGAAATGTTTCACCCAAAACTGGGCATGATAAAAGACAAAAATGGCAGAGATTTAACAGAAGCAGAAGAGATTAAGAAGATGTAGAAAGAATATACCAAAGAACTATATAAGAAAGAACTCAACATCACCAATAACCACAATCATGTGGCCATGGATGTAGAGGCAGACATCCTGGAGAATAAAGTCAAGTGGGCATTGGGAAGCATTGTTAACAGTAAGGCAAGTGGAGGTAATGTAATTCCAGGTGAGCTATTTAAAACCCTAAAAGATATAATGTTAAAATGCTGCACTCAATATGCCAGCAATTTGAAAAAATGGCCAATGGATTGGAAAAGATCAGTTTACATCCTAATCCTAACAAAGGGCAATGCCAAGAAATGTTCAAATCTCCAAACAATCATATTCATTTCACACACCAGCAAGGTTATGCTTAAGATTCTGCAAGCTAGGCTTCAGCAATATATGAACCAAGAATTACCAGAAGAACAGGATGGTTTTTGAAGAACCAGAGGAACTAGAGACCAAATTGCCAACATTCACCGCATTATGGAGAAAGCAAGAGAGTTCCAAAAAAACTTCTGCTTCTGCTTCATTGACTACACTAAAGCCTCTGACTGTGTAGAACGCAACAAAATGTGGCAAGTCCTAGAAGAGATGGTAATACCAGATCATTCTACTTGTCTCCTGAGGAACTTGTATGCAGGCCAAGGCAGAAACAAACATGGATCCATTGGTTTAAGACTGGAAAAGGAGTGTGACAAGCCTGTATACTGTCACCTTTAACTTATATGCAGAGCACATCATGCAAAATGCCTAGCTGAATGAATCAAAAGCTGGAATCAAAGTTGCCAGAAGAAAGAGCAACAATCTCATATATGTAGAGGATTCCACTTTGATGTCAGAAAGTGAAGAGTAATTAAGAAATCTCTCGATAAGGGCGAAGGAGGGGAGTGTCAAAGCTCACCTGAAGCTTAACATCACAAAAACTAAAATCTCGGCAACTGATTCCATCACTTCCTGGAAAACAGAGGGAGAAGAAACGAAAGCAGTGTCAGATTTTATATTCTTGGGCTCAAAGATCACTGTAGACTGAGACTGCAGCCATGAAATTAAAAGATGCTTGCTTCTTAGAAGAAAAGTTAGGGCAAATCTGGACAGCATACTAAAAAGCAGAGACATCACCTTAACAACAAAGGTCCATATATCTAAAGCTATGATTTTTCCAGTAGCAATGTGTAGCTGTGAGATTTGGTACTATAAGGAAAGTTGAATGATGCAGAATCAACACTTTCAAACTGTGGTGCTGAAGGAGACTTCTGAGAACAAGGAGGTCAAATCAGTTAATACTTTAAAAATTTTAATTCAGGCTTTTCACTGAAGGTCAAATACTGAAGCTGAAGCTTAAATACTTTGGCCACAAAATGAGAAGATAGGACTCACTGGAAGACACCCTCATGTTGGGAAAGACTGAAGGCAAAATGAAAAGGGGATGGCAGAGGATGAGACTGATAGTACCACGGAAACAAAGAACATGAAGTTGGATAAACTGTGAGAAACAGTGGAGGATAGAAGTGCTTCTTGTGCTATGGCCCATGATGTCATGAAGACTTGGACATGACTGAACAACAATGACAAATGCTTTTTCAATCACCTAGTCATTCACACT